GGTAAGTCTTCTAGGATAGTTCTCAGCTCGGCAAAGTTGTCTTCGGGAAAAGGGGCTGCCGATCAAGGCCAAGACGCAAGCATGCAACCACAAAGAATCCAACCCTCAAGATTTCCCTCCTCATCAAGTATCAACAGCTGTTGCCGACGGTTTTGCCATGCCATTGCAGCCATTCAGTAATTTAATTGTCCGATACAATGCTCTACCTATGATGTATACTCCTTTTGCCCTTGCAGCTGGAAGCAAGTCGACGAATCGGGATGAGACTTAGTCATCAATACAATGTCCACGTCGACGAGCTGAAAGTAGCAGACTTCCTGAGCTTTCTTCTTCCCCGAACGGAGAAGCGAAGGCCTAGCTAGTTAGATGAGCTTCAGAAAGAATATCAGCTTCTCAAAAATTTGAGCTCCTGGATTTATGGGTTACTCCACTGAGCAAAAGTCGGTAGCTATCTCCGCATCGCTCCTCTGCTCAGGCAACTCAGCTCAGGCTTCCAAATACGCATTTCTATCCAAGTGTGATCGTTAGCCCAGAGCCAGGGCATTTGAGAAACCCTGAATAAGCAGAGCATCCAGGACACCGAGGACCTGCGAATCATGGACGTCGATTGGCCAGCTTTCACGCCGCTCATCTCCGAAACGTCGTTCCGGCTGTTGAAGCTGGTAGCCTTGCAAGAGTCTGGCAAAGATGCAGCACTGGAGATCCGTTTAGGGCTTCTGTTGTGCAGCTTTGACTTAAAAAATTGTCCAGAGTATCACGCTCTGTCCTATACTTGGGGGAAACCACTTTACTCGTCCATCGAATGCATTGAAGAGGAGGACGTTCAACCACAAGACCCGATCTATGTAGCACTCGGAAATGCAGAATCCGGGCAAGAGTCCAAATCAGAAGAAATCGATACAGACTGGAAAGCGTTCTCTGTCAGCGAAAATCTCTGGGATGCTCTTGTCCAGCTAGCCAGTTCTGGCTACATGGACAGATGGCTGTGGATCGACGCGGCCTGCATTGATCAACGAAACGTGGTCGAGAAAGGGATGCAAGTTGCAATGATGGGCGAGATCTATTCGAATGCTTCACAAGTCATTGTCTGGCTCGGATCCGACACATCTGATCTTGAAGACTTCCTTTGGCTGAACAAAGACTTCCTTAATGGTATCGGACTATACATCCAGGAGTTTGGGGTCGAGGATCTGATGCAGCAAACACCCTTCAATCAGAAGCTACTTGAGTTCTTGAAACTTAACCCACCCTGCGGCGACTGGGTCTTCTGTTGGCAGAAGTACATGAGTTTCTGCCGAAGAAGGAGATGGTTCTCGCGCATCGTACGGCTACAGTCTCATTTTCTCCACCATATAGGTCAGTTGATCCAGTATCGCGCGGAAGTGCTGATATTTTCGGTATGTAGTGGATCGTCCAGGAGGTTGCGCTTGCACGAGATGTTATTGTTCTTTGTGGAGAAGCGTCAATACCTTGGTACAATGTCGACACTCTCAGCAGGCTGCTTCGAGTCCTAGGATGGCAACCGATGGTTGGTCTGAGTGCGGCCAAAGCTTTTGGGAGAACGATTGGAGACGAAACCATCAGGATTTCAGTCATCGTAGATCGTCTGAAGGACACTGTTGAACGAGGCGCGGTCGCCAGACAGTCCGCCCCGGCGCCTCCTGCAACGAGCTCAGGCCCCCGGAGTCCAGATCAGACAGTCTTTGAAGTGACAGATTTCTACTCATCACTTCAGAAGTTGCTACTGGACACTAGACCATACTCGGCCACTGATTCGAGAGATAAGATATTCGGAGTTCTTGGCATCGCCCAGAAAGCTTTGCCCTCAGACATGGCAATGCCTTTAACACCTGACTACAGCTCGGGATCAACCGCACAGGACATTTTCACATCAGTTGCAAAGCTTCTCTTGGAAAAGCTACCCAAACTCTCGAATCTGTCTCATGTTGAAGATAAGGGAAGTCGTCGAGTTGCAGGTCTACCATCATGGGTTCCGGACTATACAAACACATTGATGCCGGTACCGTTAACCTTCATACGTGGAGAGCATGAGTTCAACTGCTGTCCGGAAGGTGACACAACGGAGACGCGGACTATCATAGATGGCTCATCACTTAGACTGGATGGGGCAGTCTTCGATCGAGTTTCCGAAGTTGGCACGCCGATGTGGGACATCATCAAATCCTCAGACATCAATTCCTGCTTGAAGCTCTGCGAGAGTATTAAGCAACCATACCTGGATACATGTCAAGATACTGGCGAAGTACTCTGGAGGACTATGATTGCAAACTCACACAATTCTGAAAGTGCGCCGGATAACATGGGTGCAGCATTCATCATGTGGGCTCGAAACCGACTGGCAACAAATTTGACTCCAGAGATCATGGTTCGGGACGATACGGGGGCGATTACATCAAATGTGAGACTCAACGAGGCTCAACTCCGCCACCAGCTCAAAGCTCTGCAGGCGTTGCACGACACCTCGACCGGCAAGCTCTCTCTGCCTACGGTAGACGAGGTGCTGGCCTCAGCCAGAGAGATGCACCATTTCAAGATACAAGATTTTATCTCACAAGGGAACAACATCCTCGACCCCAACGACCCGTTTCCTACTGCTGCCGAGCAATTGAATCGAGTCGAGAGACATGCGGCTGCCTTTCACACTGCACTTAGCCCCACGATGCCTTTCAGGCGGCTGTATTTGACTGAGCAAGGGTACCTTGGTTTGGGGCCAGAGTCTACAGTTGTTGGTGATCAAGTCTTCATGCTGCACAGTGCGCAAGTTCCATTTGTGCTTCGAGGGAATGGAGATGGATCATTCGAGTTCATTGGGGAAACTTACGTCCATGGATTCATGGATGGTAGGATGGCAGAAGAACTGGAGGGAAAGATGGGACAAATCTGTATACGTTGACGAGGCTGTAATTGAGTTACAAATTCCCAAGGTTGGTGAGCTCGAGGCCAGGACCTCGCATGCGCCTTTTCCCAATATCAGGCTCTCAAGGACGAGAGCAGCGCCAACACTCTGCCACTCTGCGCCTCGAACCATCGATAATGGACCGCCAAGTGGCAAGTAGGGTAGAGAAAATTCAATGATAATGTATTTGAGTACGTCGGAGTCAGAACCTAGCATGTGGCGTGCTTGTTCTCCTGGGCAGATGAGTCTGTTACGAGTTGACAATCCAAAATGAGTTACCGGCCGCGGGTATGGTAAGTGGCATGTCTTACAGAGAGTGGTAGACTCTATTTTTTTTCACTCCTGAAGTACCTGCCTGCCAATCAAGTCCTTTGTTACACATCGCAGCTTTGTTTACTTCGAAAGGTGAGATCGACCAATTTTGCTGAACAAGTCGTTTCTGCCAATCACGGCGGAGATCAACCAACTAGAGAATTATTTGCTGCCCATGGTGCCCGATTACGAATTACTTAAGCAGATGCTAATGCCAAATGATAGGCAATTATGTCTTAAGTCTGAAATAATTGATACCAGGCTTTGAACCGTGTCATCTCCAGTCTCCCACACAAGATGCGAAGGTTAGGAGTTTCCTATTTGAGCCAAGTCGACATCCGGGCACTAGCCCAATAACCCCCTCATGTCTCCTTGACATCAATTTGGTGCCCCCGCCAAGTCATCCCCCATCTTTTGTCCCCAGCTCAAGTTCTTGCCAAGCATCTCGCATCAATTTATTTCAGCTCAATATTACAGATGGCTTCACAGATTTCCCCCGATCTGATCACAGAAGGCACAATCCCATTTTCCCCACCCGGAACCGATAAGAAATGCTCAACATGGTACAGAATCTTCGGATCTCTCGAGAAGTCCTCTCGGATCCCCCTACTTGTGATCCATGGCGGTCCAGGACTTAGTCACGATTATCTCCTCCCCATGCAAGAACTCTGGTCCTCGCATCAAATCCCCATAATTTTCTACGACCAAATCGGCAACGGCAAATCAACTCACCTCCCAGAAACGAAAGGCGATGAGACTTTCTGGAAAGAAGAGCTCTTCTGGGATGAATTGGATAATTTGATTCAAGGTCTAGGATTAAAAGAGTATGATGTGCTTGGCCAAAGCTGGGGCGGAATGATGGGGTCAAAGTGGGCTGGGATTCGGAAGCCGAAGGGGCTGAGGAGATTTATTATCAGCAATTCGCCGGCTGATCTTAATGCGTGGGAGAGGGCGTACGCGAGGTATAGAAAGTCGTTGCCGGAGGATGTGGAGACGAAGTTGAGAAGGGGGGAGGAGGCTGAGGATTGGGAGGGAAAGGAGTATGAGGAGGCGTTGATGTACTTCTTTTCAAAGCATATGATTACGGTCAATCCAATGCCGGCTGAGCTTTTGGAGAGTTTGGCGTGGGCTGGAAGGGATGGGACGGTTGCGATGACGATGTGAGTCCCTCTTCTATGAGCTGGAGAGGACGTTGAGGGAGACGCATGCTAACTTTCAATAGGTCTGGGCCCGACGAATTCAAGTCCAGAGGTGTGATGAAGGATTGGTCGGCTGCTGAAGCTGCTAAGGGTATCGAGGTTCCGACGTTGGTGATTAATGGTGTGAATGAGGGGGCCAGTGATGAGGCCGTCAAGCCATTCGTGGACGGCATCAAGAACGTAAGATGGATCAAACTTAAGAACAGCACCCACTGTCCGCTGCATGAGGAGAAGGAGAACTATTTGAGAATCGTGTCGGAGTTCTTATTACTTGATTAACTTGTCCTGCCCTGCCAAGGTCAATAAGTTTAGCATCTTATTTATGTATTGCGATACCTCAAGATTTGAATACGACTGACAGTGTGGATGTAAATAAAGTGTCTTGAGAATTTCTTTCAATGGTGATTGGAAAACGACCTGTGAACGATACAAAGGAGCAGCTAAGACAAAGTTCAAAGGATGGCAGCACAAAGAAATGCAGCGTTTCCAAGAAAACATAATCAATTCCAGACAGGTTTCAAGATATCAAGGAAACAAAACATCCATAGAAATGGCAAAAGAAACAAAAGAATCGACGAAGGCAGGATTTGAACCTACGCTCCCGAAGGAAATTGATTTAAACAGCCACGTCTGAAAGATTCAGAGTAGATAAGTTCTAGTCAATCGCGTTAACCACTCCGCCACTTCGCCTCAAGTCACTTGATTTATGATTGGGAGTCCTTATTTGGATAGATATCGCAGTTAAAATTTCGTAGAGCGGTGAAGAAATTTTCTGTGGCTCCGAATTTTTTTAACCGAGAGCCTGATATCCACTGGAAGACCCCCTTTTTAAATTCGCTTAGTACATTGATTGCCCAATGGCTGCCAGGCTTGTTTGTTGATGTCAAGAAATGGATTTTTATTATTCTCAATACCCAAAGTCTTCATATACTACTCTCCTGCCTGCTAGCCAATTCAAAACTTGACTTTTAAGTCTCGGCCCCACACACATATACCACTCATCCACCCCCACCTCCTCATTGACCCTTGCAACATCCTCCTCACTCACTCTCCTTCTCTCAATCTTAACTCCAGAATCCACCACCTCCTTCAACAATTTCAACCCCTTCACACCCAGACTCGCATCTTCACCCGACAGGAATATCGTCGTCGCCTCAATAAGCTGAGGATATCTCTCCAAAGTATCAGCCACAAGGCCGATATCCTCAATTCCAACACCCCACAATAACCTCAACTGCTTGACATCCATACTATCAAACTGGCCTAGCAGAGGCGTGATACCAATCCCACCAGCAATGACAGGAATAATAACACCAGCTTCTTTTTTTGGAAAGTGAAACTCCCCGCCAAAACCTTTGAGCGGGACTTTGAAGCCACCTCGTAGGTTTGAGCGGCGTTGCTGTTCAAAAAGAAAGTTGGTCACGCGACCGACTTTGCGGATAGTGAGCTCAAATTCGTTGTCCGCGATCTCGCTAACTGACGTCTGGGCTGAGGTTGGAGGAGGACTCGAAACCGTGAAAGTCCGCATGAAATCATCGTTCAACGACTGCGGGTCTTCATCTCGCATATGGCTGTATCCCTGATCAAGGTAATCCTCAAAAGCAAGTGTAGCGTATTGTCCTGGTTTCCACGTTGCGATGGAAGAGGGGTCTTCAATGCGGAAGCGGAAGCGAGATATTGTCGGTGTGAGTTTTGTTGTGCTGAGGAGAGTGGCATAGTTGAGCTGCTCAGAGGTGACGTTGATATGTGCAATTTTCTCATTCGCTGCGTACCTGACTGGCGGATTATATGGAGATGACTCTTCTGGAATGCCTTTGAACGTGAGTCCTTTTTCTACGAACCGCGCCGAGGTGACCGCGAGCTTCACTGCAAGGTTGGACCTCAGCAGGACGGAACTGGCTTCTTTGCCGATCAGGATCTCTGTCTTGCCTGTCATGTACAGCACATCTCCTGTGTCGAAGTCAGGAACTGTGATGCCGGCTAAGGGGTTCATTTTGAGGTTTCCGAGAGTCTCGTACATGCGATTACCGGAATATTCGGGGTAGACGATCACGGCTCCCGATTCGTCGTTTGAGATGAGGCGGACGAAACCAGCTGGGCCGCCGCGGTGGTTCGTATCTACATCTTCTGCCCCGTCCGAGGAAGACATGAAAAACATATCTGCTTTCTCGAGTAGTGCCAGGGCTTCTGGTGGTAATTTTGGCGAGTCTGAGACGAGTCTCGGTTTTGGCGTGAAGGGAATTATACGTTTGGAGTTGAGATACTTTGGACAATTGCCTGAACTTGTTAGCTTCTGATCAAGTTTTGGACATGTTTGAGTTGTTACATACCGACACTCTTATTAATACTTACAACCAACTGCGCCTTGGCCACACCCTTCTCCCCATCTCCATTCCCCTCCATAGCACCAGCAATCATATGCCCATGCAATTTAACCCTCATCCTACTCTCCAAATCAATCGTCAACCCACCCACCATTCTTCCATCCCCCTCCTCCCTCACAATCTCCCCCTCATCCGCACCTCCAAGCAACGCCTCAACAACAGGATCAAACCTCCTATCCACCACCGTCTTCACTCCAATCACATTCTTCGCAACCGGTCTTCCAAAGCCAGGATCTCCTCCCCAGATAGTCGTCCACGGCCGATCCTGATCATCCAGCGTCCCGAGTGCAAGTAGTGGAGCTCCTTGGATCATGTATCCTGCTCCGGGAGAGAGGAATGGTGAGTTTGGATTGCCTTGGCCAGAGACGTGCATGATGCGATGCATTTCTTTCTCTCCCTCGTTCCAGGGTAGACCTCGTGAGCCGAATGCCATGTTGTAGGTATTTGGTGAGAATTGGGAGGGGAAGGATATGGAGCTGTTGAGGAATGGGATTGTTGATAGGTATGAGGAAGTGAGCACCTCCATGTTGGAGGGTGGCGATGTGCTATATATCAAAGGAGTGAGGAGTGTGAGCCCAGAACAGGGCGGGTATTTTCATAGGTCAAGGAGAAGAGAATGCATGACAAAGCAAGAGAATGTTCTTGTGACATTCATGAAGGCTTGACTGGTCGTTGAGTCAAGCTTAAACTCATATTTGGAACCCAGCTATCCCCCGGGAAATGATTGAACTGGAAGCTCGTTACGAGGGAGCTAGTCTGTCCTGTGTTGTGGTGTTGTAATCAGCCTGTGCAGGTGTTTGCAAGCGACGGGATTTGCGGGATTTGGTGGTGGCTGCTTACGGAATTCGCCAAGGGATGCATAGGGATGTGGAATCAGTGGCTTCGTGAGGGATGCTATTTTGATTGGAGTTCAAGAAAAGTTGTGCGAGAGGGCCGTTATCTGATGATTGAGATATGGTTCGATTGCATTGTGGTGCGACAGACCCTAATTGATGCGTCGTTGAAGTGACGATACCTTTCATCCGCGGACCGATGAAGGGTGCAGGGCAAGAACAACACGAAACTGGCAAACACGAGAAATCTTTCTATTAATCAATCTTTTTTACTCAGGGCCAGTTGACTCAGTATTGCGAGTTCTCTTTGTACACATTCTGGTTGGCTTCTCCCGTTCCTCCCCTTTCCGCCTCGCTTAAATCTACTTGGAGGTGTTTATTGACCCTATGTGCCAGCTTCTACTGAAAACCTCATAAAGCACTGAGCATACCAACATCAACTTCCCTCAAAACAGTAGCAGATGCCCAAACGACACTCATAGTCAAGTATCTCGCTCATTCATCCAAATTACTCTCATTCTCTTGACCAACCGCCTCCCTCTCCTTTCCCCTTCAACCCGCCCTCTAAATAGCCTCCTTTACCAACTCTCCCAACTGCTTCACTCTTCCCCTCAACCCCTTCGCAAGGTCCCTCAGATTCCCAATCGCCAACCACCAGCTTTTAGCATCCCCACCCTCAATCTCACTCTTAACCTTCGTCATGAACCCTTCAAGCTCTTCATACAATACAAACAAATGCTCTTTCGCTAGCTTTCCTTGTTTTTCGTACCTATTCTTGATCTCCTCCAGACTTCTGGACACATGCCGAATCGCTTGCCGAGACCGAGCGTGGGATCTCAAAGGCTTCCACCTCCCCCTCGCTACCTCACCACCAGCTCTCTCTAACTCCTCAAACATCCCATCCAGCTTCCCCAGCGCATCACTCAGCACCCTCTTCTCTCCCTCCATCTTCCTCCTAACATTATTCATCCTCTCATAATGAACCTGCACCAATCTCTTCACACTCTGTGCTGCCAACTCCTTATTCATATCCCTGCTATCCCCGAACAACCCTAATATGTCGAGCCCATTCCAGAGTTTGACGAAGGCGACGTGTCGGAGATCGAGGACTAGTTTGTCTGTTTTGGTGAGGAGGTCTTCGATGGCTGTGTCGGCGTGCTCGGAGGCTCTTTGGTAGTAGCGTTCTGTGGTGTTGAGGCTTTTGATGAAGGTGTGAAGTTGGGTTGAGAAGCCTTTCGTGGTGGCGGGAAGAGGGATGTTGATGTTGAGGATGGGGATGTGGAGGCCTGTTGATGTGGAGTGTGAGGAGGGATAAGAATGGTGGTGGTGGCCGAGGTTGGAATTGGGGAAGGCGTGACGCCATAGACTGGGTGCGACGGATGTGAGGAGGGAGTAGAGGAATAGCCATAAGGCCGTGACGAGTAGCGCTGTAAGTCCGATTTTCGTCCATGCCCATGACTTTCTTCCTTTTCCGGAAGATGTTGCTTGAAAGATGAGAAATGGAAGCCGGGTAGGATCTTCCTCATCAACCCCATGACAGTCTCTTGAACAACTTCAAAGCCCTGAATGCCCAGGATCTCGTCCATTCCAACGACTTCTCCGTCCACCAGAGCCACATTCTTTTTCAAAAGAGGATCGTACTTGGCGAGACCTTTGAACGTCCTCTCTAGCAGAACACGGATGAGTCTGCTGGCGTTGCGGTTTTGCGGGCTTTGGAGGGAAGCTTGGCCATGTGCAGAGGCGGTTAATTCTTTTCTCCATTTTAGGATATCGAGGTGCAGGTTCGCTATTATGGTTGGTGTGATGTGAGATGCTGGATTGTTGGCGATGTAGGAGTCTATGTAAGCTTGGCATGCAGTGTCGACATCGCCTGGCTCAGGGATGAAGCCTGGTGGTGGAGTTGGGGGAGGGTTCAGTGGTTTTGGTGTTCTGAATGGGTTAGGAGAGGAAGTTTTGCGTGGTGTGGTTGGTGAGGTAGAAGGTTGGTTGGAAATGAGATAACTTGATAATGGCGTCGAATCGAGCTTCTGATTCGGAGCCTGAACTGAGGATACTTCGCTGGCCGTGTCCGTCATTACCAGTGTATGTCTCAGCTGCTTCCATGAAGTTCTTTGCCGTTTGGGAGATGTGGTACTAGTTTTCAACGTCAATGAAATGGGCCCGTCCGGAGATTGAGTACAGAACCTACAGGAGGAGCCTGCCAGCTTATCGCGTATGGCAAGACTGTTCCGTTTGATGGGTGTCTCTTCTCTCGCTCCTTTCCTTTACTCTGCCCCTCCTCTGTATTGTGGCTCGTGGGTTTTACCAACTCAACACCGACGTCTGCTTCTTGTTCGAGCTGTCCTCCTTCGCGGTTGAGTTCTGCCTCAGTTTTGACATCCAGCTCTCCCTCCTTCGTGCCACTGCCCCCCTCTCCCGGGTCCTTGGTCTCCTCTATGCTCTCCATTATCTTCTCCGATTTCCTCTTCCGCAT